AACGCACCTCTTTGACCTACAGAGAGTAAGTAGTTTCTGCCGTGGTTTTCTCCTGTCCATTTTGTCCCTTTCATGTATGTATGTGTATACACGGAAGTATGCATGCACATACCAAGTAGGCATGCGTGCATGTTTAGAGGCGACCATATATATAAATATGCGCGCGCATTATTTTTGTGCTTATATACTGAAATATAAGCTTGATGTGTATATATAAGTGCGGATACATAAACATATTTAAGTCCACATATGATCTGTGCAGGTGTATGCATATTCTGTCCGTATCTAGCTGGTGCCCTTTCTTTCCTAGCCTTACTCTGGTTTCTCTGACCTGCCTGCTGCAAGTTTCCACCTGTGCGGTTAAATATCGAACTGTCCACACGATTTTTCCCAAGCTTGTGAAGGTTCCTTGTTGCGTATCTGTGTTTGGTGTAAGCGAAGTCGATCTGTTTTCTGTTGAATTGCTATTACTTTTTGGGTATTTGATGGCCTCAGAAACTGCCATTGGGTTTGCTATGCTGGTATTCCGAGCACATTTGTGGACTTTTTTTGCTGTACCCAGACTACCTGATTCAATATATATATCAGCTTGCACAGAGACAGGCGCGCTTTGCTGTATCTGGTAATTTGCTTTATATTTGTGGTGCGCCGCAGAACGGAACGACCCCGCTGGCGATCGCCGCAAGTCCTAACGGGCAGTGGCTGGCTGTCTTTGGCGCCGACTACCACTTGAGGGTTTTCAGTGTCCGGAAGGCGAAGCTTAGTCGAGTCTACCTCGAGACGCTCCAGGTATTTCTTACGCGGAAAGCACGGGGCCAGGGTCTTGAGTAAAGGTTTTAGCGTCTACGGCTTTCAGGGGTTTCAAGGTCAGGCTATAATCGTTAGAATGTAGAGATTCAACTGCAGTGTACAAAAGCTCAGTATGGGCAGCTTATTGGGAGCTTTAACTTTGAAGAATTAATGCAGGGCTTAACTTTGGGTGCTTAGGGTTCAGGTAGTCTGTGCTGCGCACGGGCGGCGTGTGTGCTTTTTTAGTTCTACGAAATGGCCCAGAAAGACCCTCAGTCGGTTATGCTGCACCAAGACGCACTGGATTTCGAACAGCGAGCGGCCCTTGAGAAGGAGCTATCGCGTTCCCCTCTTCGTTTCCACCAGACCCTTCTGTTTGATGCTTCTTCATCCTTTCTTCTCTATCCGGTCCTTCTCGGGGTTAAAGTCCTAAATATACTTGACAATAAAGTGAGAAACTGTTGAATTCTAAATTATGGGCTCCCGCTTCCACAAGGTTGCATGTTTGGCACTTTACGGACTAAGACGGTCTTCAAGGGTTCAGGGTACTTCAAGGCATCGGCAGTTAATTTTTAGTTTCTAAAGGCCAAGCTTTTTAGTCCATAGATTCGGCTTCGTTACATAGGGTTTAAGGTTTAGTGCGTACTGTTTAAGGTCGGGAGCTGAATATCAGGGTCTAAGTGTTCATGATTTGTTTATAGGTCTGCCGCTTCATCGGTCGCCACGAGCAAGGCTTGCGGTACCTGGCGATTGCTCTGCATCAGCCCTGTGCAAGCCGCGTATGTCTTCCGTGCTTTTATTTTTTTGCAGCTGTGCCAGTGGCTTAGCTTGTACTCTTCTTCCGTCATTTCCTCATACTTTTTCCCGTTGTTTTTGACTTCTGGGTGTTTATTGCTTCCTTCACATTTTTCCCGATTGCGTGCTTTTATTCCTTACCTTTTCGCTTTTCGTTTGTTTTCTTACACATCAGTCTGATGTTTAATATGTTTGTTTGCCTCCGTCTAAGCGTCCTACTGCGTGTCCACCTTTACTTGCTCTTTCTCGTTAACTGTTTCCGGGGTTTTATGCAGCGACTTGCCAAAGCCACAGGGGGTTCCAACGATGCAATTTTGATCGCATCGGCGTTCAAGAAAAAACGGTTAGACACCAGAACCTGTACCCTAAAGGCCGTGAAATCTAGGCACTTTCTGTTGGTTTCCTCTATCTGGTGTTTCGAAGACAGATTTTTCTCAGAGCGATATTTTCCAGCACGGCTGCGTGCCGTGGACCCAGGGCCCGACTGGTGTGTCAAGCCTTTGAGTCTTCGTGCTGAATCCTTCCTCCTTTTAGGGTCTACTTTTTCACCCCAGAAGTTCCGTCCGAGGACATATTAGACACGCGCGACATCTTTAATGAGAAGCCTTCTAAGGAGGAGCAGGAATCACTAGGCGGTGCGTCATGTCAAGTAGAGCTCCTGGCTCCTAGTGTAGTGCTTGTGTTCAGCTTAGGGTTTTGCAGGCGCAGCTTGCTTGCTGGTGTTCTTCTTGGCTTTGGTACTTTGTGCCGTCTCAAAGCTACTGATTTCCTCCACCCCTTCAGTTTGTTTGCATGATCATTTGTGTCCTTGTTTGTTTCATTGTGTGTGTATCTGCTTGCGCATTCTCCTTATTTGTAGGTGGCTTTTGTGTTTTCGTTGGCGCATGTTTCATTGACTGGCGTTGTTGCTCCTGTTCTTTCGGCTGCTGCAGCTGCATCTGGACACTCTGCAATGACTCCCGCCCAGCGTGTGGGTTCGACGGCCACGCTGCACACGACTTTTGGTGACATTCGCGTCAAACTGTTTGGAACTGAGTGTCCCAAAACCGTGGAGAACTTCACAGTTCATGCGCGGAATGGCTATTATGATAACATGCTCTTCCACAGAGTCATTAAGGGCTTTATGATTCAAACGGGAGATCCCAATGGAGATGGAACGGGCGGTAAGGGTTTTTCGAGGCTTCGCTACTCTTCTGCCAACCTCCAACACAACTTGCCTTTTTTACCTCATTTACCTTGTTATTGCTTCTACGGGGCTGCAGCAAATATTTTTGTCCTTACCACCGCCACAGTTTTACACGTGCTGCCTTGTTTCTCCACCCAGCGTCTATGCAGACGATGTGAGGAGCAAATATGTTGGCACTTGCCCTCTTGCGTCTGTGTGCGTGTGCTTCTTTGGCGGTTTTCTTTGTTTATGTGTGTATTACTCAGCTTGTCCGTTTTTGTCAACCTACCGCCTATAGCTTGTCGGGTTTGTGGGGCGTAGCATCCTTCCCGGGTTTTTCTTTGTACATGCGTGCAAGCATTTGTGCGCACATTTCATATATCTGCGTATGATATGCCCTGTGCCCGAACTACTTGGGGATCCACTTTCTGTACATCTCTGCAGGGGAGTCGATTTGGGGCGGCGACTTTGAGGACGAGTTACACAGGTCTCTGAAGCACGACAGGCCTTTCACTTTGTCCATGGCGAATGCGGGTCCCAATACCAACGGATCTCAGTTTTTCATCACCACTGTGCCGTGTCCATGGCTGGACATGAAGCACACTGTCTTTGGCAGAGTCACGCATGGCGCGGATGTTGTACTGAAGATCGAAGGAGTATGCATCCTTAGACTAGCCTCCATTGTTTCCCGGCTTGAGCGTGAATGCCAGAACAGATAAAGGATGCATGAAGTGTTCTGGCTAACCGCTGAAAATTCATTCGACCCCATATACAAGCTTCTGGTTATCTCCACTAATCGGCATGCATGCACGCCGTCCATATAATGTTTTTGTTCCTTTTTCTTGTCCGGGTCCAAGACGATATCTCGTGTGTCTTTCGACGTGTATTCGCAGGTGAAAACTAACATGAACGACAAGCCTCTGCAAGACGTGAAGCTGCTGACCATCAAAATTACTTCTTAATATTCCTTTACTTCTTCAGGTTGGAAGCCTTCAGAAGGCTTCCAGAGAGTCTTACCACCTAGTCAGCGCTTTGCTGCTAGGTACTTCGCCGTATTTCAAGGACCAGATGATGTTTTAATGCTTTGTTATTTTGTCTAGATGAAGGCGCTGAACGTCTTATTCAGATAGGCGCGTGCATGTATGTCCGTAGACATCCATTCGTAACACACGTGCCACACGTGTTACTCGTAACCACCTTCCTCATTTACCGGCCTGTGTACGCAGCCACGCAAAGTTTGTTACGGCTTTGTGGCCTTGTGCACTTTCGTAGATACTTGCCCGCTGCTGTGTGCCAAACCGTCCAACTTAGGCGTGAGCTCAAGCAGATGAGAGGAAGCAAAACGCGCTCACCTACATGGGTGTACTAACAAATTTGCAAGCATACTACATAAAGCTGCTTGCTCTGTACTGGCGTGTGTTCCTCTTTCTCGTGGCACATGAACGTACCAACACGACACAGCGCAAACGGCTACACGCATGCGCCCTCCTACACAAGCCGCTAACATAATGCTCATACACCAATGCACGCAACTGTCATGCACAGATGAATAAATGGATAAAATGATGCAGCCATATGGTCATTTGACCGTATGCGCATGTCCGTTAGTTTCCATAGGTAGCGATCCGCTACACGTGCGTTCTCCCTGTGCATGAGCAGTCGCGCTGGCATGCCTTGACACCAAAAAGAAATCCACGCCTAGATCTATACACATGAAGGCAAGCCTACTGCGAAGCCTCAAGCATCTGCACCGTGCTGCTGCTGCTCGGCCTCATTGCTCCTTGCATGCATTGCAGCACTATGCGCACAAATAAATATTCTTGTTTTAAATGCACGTAGCCCACTCAGCAGCAGCAGGGGATTATGTGCATCTGCACACATGCATGTGCTTGCATGCGCGCCGCAGAGATAGCACGCAGAACAAGCATCCTGTACACGTTTGCGGGGCATCAGAAACATCTCATCCGTGTGCTGCTGGGCTTGGTAATTGCTCACAGCGCGGATGATTGTTTAGTGCGCAGACACATGCGGATGCGTTCGCGCTGCTAATCCAGCGCTGTTTTTGCTGCTACTAACGCTGCTGCTGCTAATAACCTACCTAGAATGTGCATGTCAGAAACAGCGTCTAGAAAGGCCCTAAGCTGCATGAGGCTTCGAATTAAAAAATATCGGGTTCATCCAGACTCTTTTTACTTCTGCATCCGTTACTGGTAGTGCAGCAGCGATACGGTTCGTCAGCAACAGTAGCTTTTTAGCTGGCGACATCCCTGACCACTCCCTCAAGCTGCGCGCCTTCAACCATTTGGTTTCCTTCTCTGTCCTTTAACTCCAGAACTCCTTTCACCGGACAGCGGCAAGTAGGGCAGAGGCCGCTCCTGCACGAAAAAAATTCGTTTGGACCATATGCAGAGCCCTACTGAACACTATGCAACTCCACGCTCATGCAGTGTGTGGAGCAGACGAGCTGTGACACGAGAGCCTCCACTAGTAACTGCAGCAGCTAGGATTGGATCTTACCTATGGAAGCATGTCTGAGCGCACGAAAAACAGAGACCTCCATGTCCGCAGAAGAGAAGCACGGCACTCGCCATCTGCAATCATTCAATGCATGCACAGTTTCAGCTCAGACAGCATGCATGTGCCTCGTGCAGACACCTTTCGAGCAGTCTACAGTGCGTGTCTGTGCTTTGTATTGCATATGCTCCTTTGAATGCTAACAAAGAAACGCATGGGCTTCATGTTTCATGTACTTATATATGGCTCCTCGGGCACACAGCAGCTTGTATGGTTGCCATCGTTTTCTACTCGTATACACGCTCCTCCTGTCACAGGCCCCCTAATCTTTTATATTATGTATTTCAAATGCACGTGCGCTGTACTACACGCAATCTATATTGCACTCCCAGTGTTAGAAATGCCAAATTCCTGGAGTTACAAACGCCTGTCGGGTGTACAAACATGTACAAACACCCTACCGTGTTGCAGCAGATGATGCATAGCTCTGATTCCCGCAGCAATTTTTCCTCTGATGGAGTCACATCAGTAGGAGCAGCATTTGCTCCTGCCGCTGGTTGCACATCGACGGCTGTTGTTACATCTGCCTCTGCTGCGCCCTGTGTGAGCGTATCTTGCGGGTCTCCTTCTATCGTCTCTTCCTGGTCGGTAGTAGTGCCACCTGGTGGTGCCCATTGTAAAGGATTCCCTTCTCCAGTGGAATCCTGCACTGCAGTTGGGTTGCTGGTCTTCAGGGGTTCGCCATATAGGGGCCCTTGGGCCTGCAGGTGGTCATGCGCTGAAGGCCCCTCTGCTGGTCCCCCGATTCTATAAAAGTGCTCGCTGACCCTTTCAAGGGTAAGCTTCATGTCACACATGAGGGGAGGGCCAACTGCTGCGGCAGCTGCTGCCGCGGAAGACGCAGGCAGGCTGCTGATGCCCCTATCGTTGGGAGCCCGCTGCTCGACGTCGTCTGTGAGGGCGCGGGAGTGATTGGCGATGAAGCAAATAGAGACAAAAGCAGCAAACAGCATCAGGAGAAAAAACGAGGCAACTCCAGCCGAGACAAATACCACAAATCGTGAATTCAAGTGCACGGACAGCCACTGCGACAGTGCGATTATGCACAGCAAGAACGCTACCGCATGCATCTCAGACAAGTGCACGAGAACGCGTGTTATGGTATTCTGCTGAAGCAAAGCATCTCGCAACAGCAGTAGGCCCAGAAGCAGGCAGCAACACAAGTGGCCCCCCGCAAGGACCCAAAGAGGCCAAGTGCATGCATAAGAGTTGGACAGGAAGGAAGCGAGTGTCTGAGCTGCAGGGAACGGCAGAGACTGGAGACAGAGTGTCCCCAGCTGCAGCAGCACCACCAGGTCCCAGCACTGTAGGCGTGCCCACGTGTATGCATCGTTCCTGTCAATGTTTAGGGCAGTGCTACTGCTGTAGCTCGCAGCCGACACTCCCAGCAGCGTCACCAGTGGTACCTTCCCGAGAATGTGTAGGGAAAATAAGACACACAGTAGAAGGCGCGACGCCACGCCCAACAAAACTATCACACGCAGCCGCTTCTCAGATGGCAGAAGCCACGCATAAGATCGCACAAAGCGTGCGGCGCCACTAAACAGTATACACAGATCGAAGACGAGAAGAGGTAAGGGCAGCAGTGCCCAGTGGTGCTGCGAATAACTACGATGGATGCACACCACTCCCCATAGAAAACATAAAAAAAAACACAACACCTCCACGCAAACACCTAAGCAGACGATCGACACAGAGCCTAGCGGGCCCCTGTAATCGTCGTACGGGAACAGTAGGCGAGGCTGGAATAGGCAAATGCATGGAGGTGGCATTTTAGATCCATTTCACACGCCAATCCACACAAATATTATGGCTCCTAAACTAGGGGGGACAGGCAGCTCAATAACTCATGCAGAGGAAACAGCTTGGAGCAGTCCAACTCGATACAAGAAGGCGCTGGTGCACTCTCCAGCGCAGCATTCCCGGTGGAACTCACAGATAGCAGCCATAAGCAACTGGAAAGCAGAACAAAACAGAATATTGGCGTCGACATGGCGTAAAACGACGCTCGTTCCATATGGTGGGCCCCTAGGCGGCGTGGTGGGAAGGGGCCCCTCCCGTCGCTCCCACAGGATTGAAAGTCACTTCGGCGTCTTGGGCGCCTTTTGCATGGACATTATATTTTGCTTCTTCTGGTGTTTTTCATAAGATGTAAGGTCTCGCAAACACTGTAGTGGTCCCTCTCAAGGCTGGCTGGTGCCTGTCTTGCATACCTCGTGCTGACGTTGGTTTCAAAAAATTGTCGCATCGGGAAGAGGAGTCAAAGCAAATGAAAATATGTCGTTTCTCATTCATTTTCGAAATGTCTCCCTGGAGCAGTAGCCGAGTAGTTGCAACACCAACTACCGCACGATGCTTTCGTGTGAATGCACATCGGTAATGAACGATCGCGTTTTACCTTCACGCGCGCGCACGCTGCAGCAAATATGCACTTTCTGTTGCCTGTACAGCGAAGCTATGGTTGAGTGTCATGAGACGAACGAATAATACGCCCTGAGACTGAGCCAGGCCCTCCCTACAGATGACGATGATTTGAAACCTTCGCGCAGACCCGTGTGAATAGCTTGAAATGATGGATTGCTAGTGTCGAATTTTTTAATGTGCCTTGTAGTGTGGTCCTAAATTCTCACCGTCGTGGAAAAGCGGGGTCTACAGGGGAGAAGCGGCCGCCCGTAACATAGTCGCAGTGCCGTTTGGTACAGTTGTTTTGCTTAAGTACGTTTCCTTATACCTGCGCAATTCGATTCTTTTGTAACAGTCAGGCTGTTACATCAGTTTTATAGCTTACCACATTTGGCCACAGTTATCAGAAACCTCTCGAAAGCGGTCACAACTTGAGAGGCCGTTGTGGGACATGGAACGAGCACCGTCAACAAGCAGCACACTGAGCAAGAAGGTGCCTAACGGGAGCTGACTGCGAGGTTGGGATTAGTGAAGAATGGAAGAGGTGTTCTAGTGTAAAGGAGTCAACTGCATTGCCACATTCGACGGCTCACCGACAAGATGTACGGAGCAGTTACGTCTACTCAAGTAAACGTCCCTTCGTATAGGTATTTGTTGAACGGAAACCTACGTGGCTCTCAAATGAGAAGCGTAAAGATGCGTGCGCTACCTACGCCTATGTTCATGCTGCAAATTGCTGGATCGTTCCCATGCGTAGCCTGCTCAGAAACATGCCTGACTTTTCAGCAGGAGCTTGAGCGCCTACGCACTAGCCAAAAGTAATTTAGAGAGTTACCAACGCTTCTTGTGAGCAGTTCTGTCCAATGGCTAAGGCGGTGCTGGTCAGAATTGTTGGGTATGGGGCTACACTTTTAAACTGGGACTAGGGAATCCACCTCGTCATTGAGAGTCTTCGAGGATGTGCAGGCCTTTGAGTTATATTAACTCATTAGCGACACGCCTGCATGCCGGCTTGCACAGCAAAAGGGCAGTGTAAGCTTTGCACCATCTGGCTCGAGCGCGAATCCCCAGGGTGGAAAAATCAGCATCAATTGCACCTTTCTCCTGCAAGTTTGTTATGGCCTGAAGCCAGCGCAGAAATTAAAGTGTTACATGCCCCCTCTGAAGCATGGGCATCTGTTGCTTTGGTTTGCCGAGAAGTAGTCGGCAGCGAGAGCTTGACTCTCTTCGTCAAGCTGCCTTTGTTCCGTGGAACCAACGCTGTAGTTCTCCATTAAAAACTAAGGCTTTTTCTTGACTTGGCAGTAAGATGTTTTTTCCTACGAAAATTGCGAGTGAACGGTGGTTTGGCGAGCTGAGTGTTTGTGCAGGAGCTGCCTACACAAGTAGCAATTTTTCTAAGTAAGCATGTGGGACTACACGTCTGATACCATATTATCAACAAACATGTAAGTAAACGTGCAACTATTTGAGTTTGAGCCCTCAACATTAGCAGAACTATAGCTTTTCCTCAGGGCGTTGATGCGGCAAGCTGCTGTCTCGCAAAGCCCCAGTCACTGCTACTTGTGCCTTGCCGCCATCAGGATCCAGCCAGTTCCTACAGACAGTAATAATTTAGCTAAAGGTTGCCTTATTTTGAAATTGCGGTGCTGATTGCGAGTCTTCACCGTGAAATCAAAGCATATAGTGGTGCCAAGCACCACATCTGGCCACTTCGGTGCATGCCGCTGCACTTGGGACGAACGGAATGTTTGGTCTGGGCCACACTTTTTCACGTCGCTGTTGGTACCGTTGGAATTTGGGTTTGGTATTTATGTTATCAAGGAAAAGTGGGACACGAGGGCTTCCCATGGCTTCCGAGGTCGCTCCGCCTATTGTTTAGTTGTACTGAGTCGTCGCCGCTCGTGGCAAGTGTGAGGCAGCTTCAGACAACGGCAGATTTGATCGCGTATTTTTCCTGAGGTTTCTACTGAGGCCATTCAGCCGTGTGTGGAGGCACGTTCGACGCTGGATCGTGGTTAAGAAGGAACGGGCACCTCATCGCTACGCCCCGTAGAGGCTCTCCAGTTTTCGCAATTGCTCGCATAGTTCAGCTTCTTGTCAGCTTTTTTCTCACACGCGCAATGAGGACGTTGCAGAGGATTGGGGGCTTGCCTCCTCTTCGGGCTGCAGCTGCCATGGTTCTGGCGTTGGGCTACCTTGCCCACTCAGTATCAGCGGCTTACTTCTACGTGCAGGAATCTCAGGACAAATGCTTTATTGAAAGCGTCCCAACTGGAGTGGCACTTACGGCTTCGTATAAGAACCACGAAAATCCAGGTGAGTTTGAGTGTCCTTACCTGTTTGTGCGAAACGGGCTGATCATCTGGGCGCTCTACTGCGGCTTGTGCATGAAACTGTGTGAGGCTTACGGTGATTTCGTGTTGCACTGTTTTTTGTGTATCTAGGTGTGACCTGCAGTATCATATTCAAGGACCCGAGCGGTCGCAGCGTGTACAGCCGAGAAGTACTACCAGCAGACGCAGAGGGAAAGGTCACCCACATGACGACCACGACTGGCGAGTACCAAGTTTGCATTTCTTGCGCCTCTTCGAAGTGGTTTAACACCCAGCTGCTCAAGTGGTCTCTTTCCATTGAGCTAGGCGACACAGACATCAACATCGACGTGAGATCTGTTTGCACGACAGCTCTGAGAATATCTCTTTAGCACATCTTGGGGCTCTTTCCTCTGGTAAAAGTATGTTGTACGTTATGCTGTTCCATCTAATCAGGACCTAGCTAAAAAGGAGCATGTCAACAGTGTTCACCTGAAGCTGCAAGCGATTGCCCGCCGATTGGAAGCTATGCAGGCGGAAAACGACTATGAGCGCGTCCAGGTCAGCAGCGAACTCGCCATATTCGTTTCTTGCCAGTTAGGGATTTCGTATTGCTGTCAGTTGGCAGAAACACCCTTTTGTTGGAGAAATGGCGGTGCAATAGGATGAGGGTCGTGCAAACGAACGCAGTTTCACAAGATGCCGGGTTTTGCTGTGTTGCAGGAAGAAAGATTCCAACGAACGAGCGAAGCAATCAACAGTCGAGTTGTATGGTTTTCGGTTTTGCAACTTCTGCTGCTTTGTGCGTGCACCTTGGTGAGCATTTTCTACTTAGTACGCTATTTCCATGCCCATAAAATCATATGAGTGATGCATGGGGAAGACAGGAGAGGAGCTTTGCTCCTCGCAAGCCCTTGACTCTCTTGCACACGAGCACGCTAGTTTTCGAATTGATAAGCCGAGTGCACGGAAATACTACTATAACGGGAATGCCGTTTTTCGGGTTTTTCGCCTCGTTAAGGGCTTTTTCCGAAGTACCTGGTGGACTGGTTCAGCATAGGTGTTTATTGGAAGTGGTTGGCGGTTGACCCAAGCATAGTTGGAGCGGCTACAGCGCTCGTTACGGCTTAGCGTGGCAAGGTGTTCAGCAGAAGGCAGATATTCATTTGACTTCAGCAAGGAGTGCTTTCAGCTAACCCAAGCGCAGGTGGAACTATTATTAAGCGCTCCCAGTGCGTGCAACGTGACGCAACCTGTCTCCAGAATGACTTAGTGCACTTACGATTTCATATGAAGCCTCTAGAAAGTGTGCTTCTTTGCTGCCGCTTCACAGTTCCAGGCACACAGACGATTTTTCGTAGCTTAGAGAGGCCACCAGCTCACGAAAGTTTCACTGCACTCCGCTAACACGCTCGTGTTTGGAGAACCGCACACCGAAAGGACTGATCGAGGGCAGCAAGCATGGAAGAAAGCATTAAGGCTACTCAAAGTAGGATGCAGCATGGGGCTTGCAGAAATCTGCTTTTTAGGAGCAAGCATGCATCTGGAGATGCAGTATAAGTAGCTCGAAGCAGCTTCACAGCGAAGAAACGTCAGGACTTGTGGCATACATGATTTTGAATGAATAGCATAGATGGCGGCGGAATTCTCGGGTGGGGATGTGGAAGGAGCTGAAGGGACGCTTCTTTTTCCCTATGTGCTGTTGAAGGTCCGCAGGCTAGAGCCTACGGTGTTGAATACCTTGAATTAGGATTTCACAAATGTTATGTTTAATAAAGAAGCAGGCAAGTCGAAGCAGCTGCTCTGTTGGGATGGCTGCTCTCGACGTCTATTTGCTCCAGACCCGGAAGAGGGAAGATGTGTCCACCGCGCATTCGCATGCCTTTCAATTGGTAGGACGGACCACCGCGTCCACTGGGGAATCTTTTTAATGTAGTTCAAGCACCCTCCGCCGTTATTTATGTAAATGCATGCACATTTCGTACCACTTTCTGGATTATGCCTCAGCGTCGTCTTCAAGGAACTCACCAGCGGACACACCCTAAATCGCATCATTTCGAATGGTGGAACTTTCTGATAGTAAAAGGGTGAACAGGACGTGAACGATATAGCCATGCGAACATGCGAAAAGCATTGACACGCATGGAGCCCAGCCCCTGAAACACACTTATTTACAATTTGTGCTCGTTTAGGACTTCAATGGGTCCATACTCAAAGCGAATGAGTACACCCCGCTGCTGAGCTTCAACAGGCATCGCCATTTTATTCACGAGCACAGACGAGACTAGGTAGAGCTCTAAGGCGTGATCAAAGGTTTGGCACGCGTCTAGCAGCCGCGGCGCCAAGCAATGCTGCCCAGTGTGTCTGCTTGCCTTATGCTATCACATGTTGGGACGATTTGGCTTGCCCGTTCATGGCATTCGATGCTAATTGGGGGATCAAGTAGTTGTCTAGCTGCACTCTGCAAAGGCCTAGCCGCACAACTCAGCACAGCATGCTCTATCTCGTGAAGGAGAACACTGCTCCCTCGAGCTAGCTAGCTGTTACTATCGCCAGCTCGCTAGAATTCCCAGCCGCTGGCGCCATCTGACAGCCACTCATTTTGTCCCTTTAACTCGCACTTTTCTTGGGTTTGAAAGGACCTCGCGAGAAGCGAGGCACCGCTGACGTTGTCACGCTGCACCAAGAACTGGCTTCGTTGTGCCGACAATGGCTGTACGCATGGACCACCTGGTTTAGGAAGGGAGGGCGGTCATATCCCGAACTGGGACCCCTCATATGAAATTGCCGAAACGGTGTGACATCTGGCTAACACATTGTAATGACTTCAGCACAAAAGGTCTGGACTTCATGGTAAATAAAGATGCGTGTGGGGGCCATTCTGTCTGGCATTATATCGAACGAGCCCTACGAAAAACCAGGTCGAGCGACGCGGAAGACCATTAAAAGCACGAAGCTCTGGCCAACACAACAACGCAGCAATCAGCCGCAAAGGCACAGCCATGACCAAAGGCGCCCACGATATCGGCTGCAACGGGCGAACGTTTAGTGCTACTCCCCCGCTAAGATCGTTGCATCCTTGGAGAATGTGAAACTGTCACATGTAAAGTCCTTCTGCTGCTAATGATGAATATTACTACAGCATTTCTTTTGGGTTTCTGCATATGCAGCAGTTGTGCTGATACCGTTTCTAGTTCCAGATACATCAACTAGTACGACTGCTGCTGCAGCAATCCATCCAATGTGGCAACATTGGATGGGTTACACCACTTTTGCACTATTTTACCACAGTTGGCGATTTAGGATTGCACTCCGTGATGACGCAGAGTCTGTCTGTCAGTGCGATATGGGGTCTGCTTGTCAGACGAGAACTCGATTCTTAAGAAATAAGATGAAGAAGGGATCGACCCGAGACCAGGGCTGGGTAAGCATGCCATGGCCAACTGGGTTTTTGGCCGTGCAAGAGCTCCGTCCAGTATGAAGTGCAATGATGACAAGTTTTGAGTGTGGTGAGGGCTGTTTCTACCTTATCTGTTTGCTGTCACACACAGCATCGAATAGAATTTCGCAGCACCTTAGAACTCCTTCACGTTAGAGTTTGGTGAGAGGAAGGCTGCATCCCCTTGCGCACTAGTAAGCGAAAAACGTTCGCTTGGAGCTTTTTGATCTAGATTATAAACTATGAGCGATTGGCGCTCTAGGCGCAAGAACAAGCTACAGTGGGGCTGTGTTAGGCGGGTCCCCACCAGCATTTTACAACACAGCCAGCTTATGCTAGCCCCTGTTCCTTCTGTTTCGTTCATTTTGTTGTCCCTACCTTTGAATTTGTCATTCGAATGGAGGAACTGGTAAGCGATTTTCAAGTAGTTCCTTAGTAGTTGCGGTTGTCACCGCGTGCTCTGGAGACAACTCCGCTCGATATACGTCTCCAGAGTCCCCTGGGATTCATTATCCTTATGTTGTGCGCCTACTGCTCGCAACAAGAATACTGTCGAGACACGAGGGAATAAAACGGGAACTGCCGACGTTTGCTACAGTGTGGCGCTCCCAACTTACTCCTAGCCTGCTTGCACTGAAACTACACCATGCCGCAAATGTCTATCCCTGCAAATACGGGTGGAAACCTCATCAACGAGGTAAGGTCACAGAGTCTCTCACAGAGTCTCTAGTAATTTTTAGCTTCAGCTGTCGCTCAGTTGGTGTAGCCTTTATGCCCTTCCATACAAACAAGCACTGTGCAATCTGCGAGTTATGCACGCTTCCTATCTACACGTTTAAGTGATACAGATGCACTTGCAGGGCACAAACTCACCTGCGTGCTCTGCATGGTCTCCTTCGTAATGTTTACATCAGAAAGATGCACATGCAGGTGCAAACTTCTCCAGCGAGCGTTTGAGCAGAAGAGTTCCCTGTTTTCCTTTTGGCGTACTTGCTGCCTGCGGAGTGTGTGGAACGTAGTGTTGAGTGAATTACTTCTTCAGGTATTACTCAAGCTGCAGTCACCAGATGGTGATGTTCGTAGAGCTGCAGAGGAATTGCTGAACAAGTCGCCGACAGAACAGCTTTTGCCTGCACTCGCTGCTGCAGCTGCTGCATCAGAGGAGGAACCATGTAACCGGCAGATGGCAGCCGTTTTAGTCCGTCGTTACGCCCACATTAGATTAAAGGATACTTCAAATGAACACCAGCAAAAACAGCAGCTTATAGAGCATGTGATACAGACCATTGTCTCCACGCTGACATCAGGGAGTCCCTTCATTGTCCGAAAGGCAGCTGCGGAAGCCATTGGAGAGTTATGGCAACACCTGCCTTCCTCGGGTAAGTCGTGATAACCACGCCTGCCTCAAGTCATTTCTTTCTGGTGTAGTGCTGTCCGCCCACTTTGGCAAGGGCCAGTCTGCTTCATTTGGGGCATTTGCAGTTTCCTGTGTTGCTCAGCGATTGCCAGCCAGACAGCGCCGTTCGGATCCATCGTACAGTGGCTTGATGCAGACCAGATGAAAGAGAATCAAAGGGAGGATGAGTGTTTGTTGTGGCTGCTGGTCGATCGTTTGGCCGATGCTGCGGATCCTGAGGTGTATGTGCAGCGCGCACCTCAAATCGCCAGGAAACTAAGCCTCACCTTTCAGCAACTAGACGTAGAGGTGCGTGCATTAGTTCTGCTCCACTTGGATTTCCAATTATGCCCTGCACTTTAACCCGCTCTCTTGCCGATAGGGCGCACCTTCAGTTTACTACAGCGCTCGACTTTGTACTCAGTTATGACTGCTTGGGTCAGCTGCATGTCTCTGGTCGGAGTTGCACTTGCGTTTGCTTATTAGAAGTCCACAGCGGCTGAGGAGGCGCTCGAGACGATGTTCATTCGGTATGCCTAATGCTCTCGCCGCTGCCCGTCTATTCCGGTGTCTACAGTCCTGTCTATCCCTCGAGCTCGCGTTCAGTCCAGTACATCCCTCTCTCGCAATGCTGTGTGTTGCTGCCTCATATTGCTGGTTTGCCTTTCTGCATTGGTGGCAGGATCGCTCGCTGGAAGGCTGAAGGTGGAAAAGCAAAAGAAACCAAAAAGCAGGCAATTGCTGCATTCTGCTCTACTTGCCCAGTGGTGCTCCAGATGCTGATAAGACAGCCGTGCCCTGAGCTCATGGCTCCACTCGTGTCACTGGCCGAGAGGGGTCCACAGTTTTTCCGCGACCAGCATGCGTTACTGCTTGATACGGTCAAGACCATTCTTGCCAACACTTCTAATGTGGAAGCAGAAGAGACGAGGCAGATGGCTCTCCAGCTTGCTGCAGCCGCTTTCCTGGGTGCTTCAGCGGTCTTACGAAAAGTCCGTTAGGTCTCTCTTTGAGCATCCGCCATGCCCCCCTGTTCGGTTATTTGGTCTTCTATGTCACTTATCGATTTTGTTTTATGGCGAGAAAATGGATTTACTCTTTTCCCTGTAACCCCTTATTTACGAGTAGGGTCGTTTCGGGGCCGTGATGAGCTGTGATTTAGCGTTAAACGCGTGCGCGATTTGTGCCTGCAGCACATGGCACTCGTTGACGAGCTCCTGATGCTGCTGGCCGACGCGGCCGCAACGTCACCTTGCGACTGGGAAAATATAGCTGCTTGGGAATCCCAGGCGAGAGAGGAAGAGACAGGTGAAGAGACACTGCACAGTGTGGCTCTTCAGCTAATGGCGGACATTGCATCAATGCTATGCAGCAGCGGCTCTGGGCAGGACCACGGAGCAGATGGAGGCTCAGCAGGAAAGTCTTTTTCTGGTGAGCCGCAGCTGGCACCTACGTTCTGCTTAATCTGGCGTCTGCATTAGAGATTCTCTGTAGACGAGCTTCTTCCTTCTGTAGCATTTTCTGGTCCATTCATGGGCAAGTTTCGAAGTTTTAATCGGTTATGTGGAGCGGCAGGTGGACTGAACGCTTTGTCGAAGCTTATGAACATATTTTCGCTTCTAGTTGAACAACAAGACCCCCGCTACTCCTTCACTGCTCTCGAGCTGCTGGCCCTCCTACTAGATGATGACACCTGTAGACCTCTACTTGGGCCCTACGCCGACAAGGTGGGCATTTCTGCGTTGCGATGGTAGTGCCCTCCAGATTAGTGCAGCTGAAGCTATATTTGTTGCCGCTTTAGTTGCTGTGTGGACATGGAGTGAAGCCGTCCAGTAGCGGCCTTTTCAGTTTGCCGAAGGCGCTTCCTTGGACTGCTCACATATTGGCTTTTATGCTTACCAAGTAGGTTTTGAGTGTTTCGCTTTGTTGCTTTGTTGCTTAGCTTGTATTCGCCTGCATGGCCGCTCTGAAAGCACCAGACGCTCGTCTGCGCTGGCAAGGGCTCAAGTGCTTTGGGCTGATGATGCAGCAGGAAGATCAGTGGATCCGACAAGTGCAACAGAAATATGGGGAGCAACTTTTATCATCGTTATCAGAGCAAAGTGCATCAGACACGAGTGTTAGATGCAGGAGACAGGCGACCTTGGCTCTAGCGGCTCTCCTCGCAGGACTCGCTCCAGAAGAAGGGGATGATCCATCTCCAGAGACCCTTGCACTCGTACGGCTTCTGCTCGTCAAGTCGTAGAGATGCTAAAGTAAACTTTTGACGCTTGCGTGGCAGACGGAAACTGCCGCCGTTTGAAAATGGTGCGCACTATGCCTTCTCCCTGATTGCTCAGGTCCTCCCAAAATTAAATGGCACGCTTTCTCAAGGTAGGGCGAATCTAGCGCAGTTGGCTCAAGGGCAGGTAGTATTCGTATTAATGATGCGACAGTGTGTAGTGGCTAAATGCAAGACATATATTTTGCGCTGGGTTTGTGTGGCTCTTCTACTGTGTAATTTGTCTGCTGCCTGCCCATAGCGGTCATCACTGGTTGCTCCAGCGACGACATGCAGACTCAAGAATTCGCACTGGCTCTTGCGTCCGCATTGGCAAAGGTAGTTCTTTGGACCCACACTGCCCCATTGCTTAGTCTTTGGGAAACGCGGACAATGCGCTTTCTGTTTTTTCTCATCCAAATCACTTCTCACGTCCTAGCGTTCGCGCAGTCGACCTCTACATGTGGGTTTGGGGCTTGGTTACTTTGCACTGCGTGCCCTGTAATACCTGCGCATTTCTCATTAATTCAGGCGTGCGGCACCGCCTTCATCCCTCACTATCCTGCATTTATTGTTGCGTTGCGGAATCTTCTTGGAGAGGATGATGCCACAGGGAAGCAGAAGGTGCAACAGTTGCTAGAAGAGCATGCTGGTCGCTGCTTACTGCAGGCAGCTGTGGAGTTTGCCGCAGACCTTGGCTCTGCCGTGGGTAAGGATGTTTTGAAACCGGTGAGTTCGCCAGTGTTGCAAAGTGAGAAGGCGAATCAGGCGTGCTTCCAGAAGTATAATCGGTGGTTCTTTTGTTGGGTCCGGCGTGAACGGAATGTGTACCGCTTGAGTGCCATTGTTGATGCGTACTCCAGGATGCTCCATGGCTAGTTGAACGCCTTCACAGCATCATGTTGTCATGCGAAGCCGTCCCCGCGGCATCAGCCGTTTTTGGGGCTATCATGACTTGCCTAGCTGTCGCCGCGCCCGCATGCGGCGCAGAGATGTTGCATCAGATGCGGCCATTAATGGACATTGTTCTTCGTAAATCCAATATGGATATTCAGGTGTGAAAAAGAGAACGCGCTCAGTCAAACAAGCAAGCTATTTACGAGACTGGTTCGGCCAACTTGAAGCCACAGCACAGTCTGCATAAGCAGGGTTTAGTTTTAGTTGTCGGCTGCGCCGTTTCCTTCACAGCCTGAGAGTATGGACAACACCCAGAGCAATCTCAGCAGCAGAGGACAAGTCGCAAAGTTAACAACGGACATTGCATTTGACAGCGCTAGAGGTCTGAGATGTAAAATGTGCGCAATTCAGCTGGGTGTCTCACAAGAGGTTGGGTCAGCAGCAGGGTCGCTAAATGCTGGGGCGGAACTCTCAGAGGAGGGAGGAGTTTCACAGTTCCGTGTGCAGGACAAGACAGGCAAACAGACAATTATCTCAATTAACACGGTGTGGCTCTGCCAGGCTTACTTTGCCGTCCCCAGCATTCTAATCTGAGTTCTGAGCTACTGTCGGCGTACGGTTGAGTCGTGCTTCTGGGAAATTTTGCTTATGGCATGCTCTGTTGCGACTCTAATTGCATGGGTTCTGCTTTGCTGCACATTTTTTGTTCTATCTGCGGTAATATGAGGCTGTTTGGAATCCAATATGAGGTGAATCAAGTGCGGCGCGTGGGTTGGCTTGCAGTCGGCTGTAGAGGAAAGATTGGCTGCCATTCGGTTGCTCGGGGCTCTCGCCTCGGCTATTGGCCCCGCAGCGCCAGCTGATCTGGGACAAGAATGGACTGCTGCTGCTCTTCAGAGTTGTTCTTCTGGTTTTTCTATAGTCCGCAATGCGGCATTTGAGGTGGGACTGATTTTAAGCATCTCCTGAGTAGATGCTTGGCGTGCTGCACTTGCACCAACACACATCGCTAAATCCCGCCCAGCTCGAAAGTATCATTTAAAGTGTTTGTCCCTCAGGTTCTCCCCAATTGCCTGACTACTCTAGCTTCTGCGCCCACACAGCAGGGGCAGGCGACAACAGCTGCCCTCGAGTTAGCTGCATCATTCCTTACAAGTACTGAAGGGCAGCTTCCCCCTTCCCAAGCAACTCTCGCGGCTGAGCGCATGCTTCCAGCTGTGGCCGAAATCATAGCCGATCAGGCAAAACGGAAAAGGGAGGGGATGCTCTCCGAGGAATGCAAAGTGCCTTCCAGTCAGAGGGCAGCTCTGCTTGAGAAACTCTTTGTTGGGATGGGCAAGCTTATCCTTCCGTAAGTGTAACGAAACCTTCGTAACCAAGTAGCACTGCACCGGCATTTGAGGTCTGTCTGCCTCTCACCGAGTCAAGGTTTTCACTTGTACGGTGGTGGATGTGCACGGTGTTCTGGAACCACCGAGAGTTCATCGGCGAATGGACGCCGGTGCTGCAGTAGCTGCAGTAGCTTGCGATGCTGCATCTTGTGGCTGTTGCAGAGTACTAACTAATGAGTTTGAGCGTCTAGCTTCCAAAGAAGAGCAAGATGATGAGTGGGAAGTGAGTTCTACAAGGTATCTGCCTTAACCAGACTGCACTGTATGTCGGCGTTTCTAATCGCGTGTTATCGAGAATTTGGTGTTTGTGCCTTTGCAGGATTTGAATGAAGATGGTGATGAAGAGGACAGTAGTTCCTTCTATGACTCTGTGATGCAGTGCTCTGGAAATTTCTTCAAGGTAGGCAACATGAATGCTGCTTACTGTCTGCAGCTTTAGCCCTATTCCTCAGCGACCGAAATAGTCTAATTTTCAATCTTTTTGTGCTGTCTCTCCACCTGTTAGATGTAGTTTTCATATTGCTCGCTGTTCAGTCGATTGGCTACATGAAAACAAAGCATCTACCTGATTTTTCGCGGTTGATTACTGCACCCATTTTATGCGTTACTGCTTTTTTTAGGTTTACGGATCTGAATGTTTGCCACATTTCGACGCTCACTTGCGTCTACCGTATGGTGCGCTATTGGCTCATGACCAGACGAGCTACTATGGAAAGGTGATGCCTATTTCTTCTTGAAGGAGACGCCTGTTCCCTGACATAGCATTACCGTCACTTTTCGTACGAAATTATGCTTTTCTTTTCATTCATGGTTTGCAGGTTGCAGCTCTGTGCCTGTATGCTGACGCTATTAACTTTGGAGACCCTAGTGCCACGCTAGAGTACAGCAAAGTGTTGCTCCCTGCGGCGCTGCTGGCTATTAGCCCACAAGCAGAGTGGGCCATTGATGAAGAGCACGCCCTGGTCGTCTCAGCGTCAGTGTACGGCTTGGGTAAGTTAGCAATTTAAAAAAAATAGAGTTAGGAGCTGGTGCGCAATGCGTAAAAGGTTGCACCTGGAGTTCTTTGCTTGTCCTGTTGATCGCTCACTGCAAATTCGCTGCATTAGAGAGTTTGCTACGTGTTGCTACTATCCGGCTGAAGTAATCCACAGCCTCCCCACCGCAGTTAGATTTTGCTGTATTGTGGCATCTCAGTTGAACCATAGTGAAGCCACCGCTGTGTGGGACAAGCACACCTGCCACAATGCAGAGATCCCTGATTGTCTAAAAAGTTGAGAGTATCTTTTGGCCACTATATCTGTTTGCAGGCGTTGTCGCACAGAGGCATCCTGAATTGTTTTCCTCACAGCTGCAGTCAGCCGTTGAGACCCTGGAAAGGTGTCTTGCAAGCCCGTTGCTGCGGACGGAGGTAGGTAGGGCGGCGGCCGATGGGGCTGCCTGCGCCCTTCTCAAGGTCCTTGCCGAGTTTGGAAGAGGCCAAGGCATTGAAGGGGCGTCTGCAAAGTTGGCGAAGCTCTTAGAGACGTGGTAAGAGACGCAGTAAAGTGTCTACTTTCATTTAGGCTTCGTCAATTGTCCAGAGGCTGAGTGCAGCGTTTCTCTGTGGATCTTTTCTATTGTAAACAGGTTTCCCCTAATGGATGATGAGCAAGAGATTTACGACGCCCATGAATTATTGCTACAGATGTCTATTCAGGGCCATCCCCTATGCTCAGATCCCGCAGTGCAGCAACAGCTTCGGCGGTTAATCGTGGATACTTTCCCTGAAAAGCCTGATTCGTTGGGGCACAGAGCGAGACGAGAGCTGCTGCAGGCAGCTAAAGACAAGCTTAGCTGAGCTCTGCCGAGCCTTAATTACAATTTGGCCTCTAACAACGGCCTAACGTCTACGATAATCTGCTACGGGTGGCTACAGGGGCAAAAATTTAAGTTGCAGAAGCAATCGAAACTTGACGCAGTCGGAATGTCCGGCCTGCGCCTGTACTCGCAAGCAGATTCAGGAGGCCTGCCATTACGTTAGATCAGTTGGTTTGTTCATTTGCCCGAGCAGCTGCAGTGGAAGGCGATGTCCTTCCCAGTAAAATCCTCAAGTGTGCGGCTACCCTTTTGGCTGTTCCAGGTGTGCAAATCGAAGCTAAGGCATAAATGGGTGATTACCTTGCACACATCTGCATACTTGCAAAATGCGTGCAATTGGGCAGCAAGGAATCGTCTCCTCGCCATAGTCGCAGGTGCACTGATGCCCTTTAGGCAACTTGCCCATAGAGCGACGAATTCGGGGACGAGACTTTGTTGCTGCCAGCGCAGTCGGCAGGGATACTTCTGCAACGTCGACCTTGGCAACAGCAACCTGTCAGTTTTCTGTCATCAAGAAGTCTTTCTTGAATGAAGTGAACGAATTACTTTCTTTGACACAGGCGCCCGACGGGCACTGCCAACTTGGAAGAGTTTGCAGGTTGGCTGGCTGTCTTCAGGGGTTCTGTTGCTAGATTTAATGCTGAGACGCCTGGCGTCGTCTAGCATGCAGTAAGTGTACAAAAATGAATTAGGCAACTTGCGTTTCAGCCTACCGTTGCCCTCGGGTGGCACTTCAGTTGAAAATGGCGAAACGCAGCCCGTTGCAGCCAACAGCGTGGGCGCCTGTGATGCGACAATCAGGCCGTTGTCGGCTTTTGGGGCTGTCCATGGGCTTTTCGACCAGGTAGGCCTTGTGTCCGGTGCCAGGGGAGGCGCGCAGATCTCACGGCCCCAAAAGCCATCAACCGTAGATTGCTTAGTACTGAAGGGAGAACTGCGCCACACATTTCTGAGAGATCCTAGCCGGATTGCAACGTAAGGCGTTTCCTTCTCTGCATCTGTAAAATAGACGCATTGGACTGCAAAAATCCACAGCACTTGCTATAATAGCCCTACCCCGGTTTGAATCAGGGTACAAAATTGCTATTGCCTGTGCAGCGTCAGCATGGTCAGAAAAGACATTGATAGGAGACGGAATAGACACGTGCATCAGCATTTCTAAATTTTCCGAGCTCCGTTGTTGCACCGCGCGAAACTGGCATCTTGGGTTTCCTGTACCAGGTGCAACCATCGCCGCAGTGTACGGACAAGGGGCTCATTTGTATGCTAGAGCACGTACGTACGGGAATCCGAGCTAAATCCTTGTCAAGTCGTTTCAAAATACAAGGATATTGGGGGAAGATGCGCTTGAAATGTGTGTTCTATCAACATGATCATTTACTGCCGGAAAGATGGTCGCCTGGCGGAAATCGCTACCACTATCTGCCCGCACAAACTAAACGAATTCGCAGTAGTAACAAAAAAATATTTACTGGCCAACTTGGAGCCCAGCCTTGACTACTGGGGCTGAAATAGGTGATCGGGAAGATCACGCTTTCCTGCGTAGCTTTCAGCAGCGCCTTTCTTGGTCACTGACTGCGCTGCCACAAACGTTGCCCTTGAAACAGCCACTTCCGGAGAAGCTGGCATCTTCAGTAAAAAGTAGGCAAGAGACCCAGCGAACGAATCACCTGCTCCCGTCGTATCGACCACAAGTTCGCTCGGAACTGTCTTCGCTACTGGTACTTGAATGATTCTTCCATTTGCAAACAAAACACAAGGCTGGGACCCTCGCGTGATCACAACATTGGCTCGACCCCGCAGCCCCTGAGGAAACTTTGAAGCAGTCCGCAAAATTACTTCATGCAGTTGACGTGCGATTTCTTCAACGTTGGTCTCGCTGGCGATACTTCCTTTGCCCCACATCTTCACGAGCAACCTTGCCTCCACACTGTTGCAAAGCAAGAAATCCGTGAAGCAGCATATCTCTGGATTGACTCGGTCAACCGGCGCAGGAGTGAATATCGTCAAAACTTGGGAGTTCCCCTCCTTGGCAATGCGGAAACATTCAACTGAAATTTCCCCAGGGATGCCATTTTCCGAAACGACCACCTTCGCGTTTCTAAGCAACCTGAACAACAACAACGCGTAATAAAGGCCTCCGTGAATGCTCACATTCCGATGCAGATGACTCTGTCTGGGCTCCCAAGCTCTTTGAATTAAACAAGCATGATAGGCAGATTTGCCAGAATGCTGCGTCTACGCACAGCAGAAAGCTGCAAATACACTTTCAACGCAAGAAAGTTAAACAGACATGCGGTAGCTTACGATGCAGCAGGGTCGATCGTAATGTGCTCTCTTCTTAAAGATGCATTGGCACCAGGCACATAAGCAATGGTGTTTTCTCCGCCGTGAGCCACAGTGACGAGGGCAGTGCCGGTGCGCTTGTCCGAGTCCATGGAGATGCCCCTTGTCTCAATACCAAGGGACCTGAAGTGGCGAATAAAACTCAACCCGGCAGTATCCCTTCCCACTCTACCGACCATTGCAACGCCACATATGGGTGTCTGCCTTTTGGCCGCACCGAGTGAAGAGTCGTCAACAAGCGTAGCAGCAGCTGCTCCATTTTGGCGAAGTGCATCTTCAGCACCTTCGCAAGAGCCGCTAAAGGCGCATTCGTGGAACACTGTTTCAGAAGGTGCATTCCTGCACTGCATTAGCAGAGCAGCCTGGGCAGCTTGGTTGGCCCCTTTGCCCCCAAAATGCGTCTCCAGTGCATCGGAGAAAACTGTCTCTCCCACACTCGGCAGACGAGGAACGAACGACACGAGGTCTGTATTGATGCACCCCACGACCACAATATCAATAGCTGCATCCATTTTCACTTGAGAATGCTCATGCTATAGCATCGTGTATTGAAAACTGGCTTTGCCGCCGATAAGTACGTAGAGTTAACTTTTGTGAGCCTGCTCAGAGCTCCTCAGTAAAGAAAAGTCTGTCGGTCTTTCTTGGTCCATATAGTACAAAACATCTCCGACCACAAGGCGAAAAGTAGCGCTTCGTGGCTGCAGTGTGGTGTGCGAATGGCGTGTGAACGTTACGCCCTTCAGATATTTGAGTCCAAGCAATTCTTTGAAAACCAACAAATAGAATAAAGTTGCTTATCGATGAGACCAGTAACTAGCCCAGCAGCTGTTTGCATGCAACCTGACGTCAGATCTAGAGCCCCAGTCCTTCTACTGAGCGTGGCGCACCGATTGATCTAGAATAAAGGCGACACACAATTAGACGAATCATCGCCTTGAGAGGAATCTTCGCCTCCTTTGTTTTAGTAGGACTGCTGAACGAGGCGATTCTAGAGTGGCTGATCACGTAAGATTTCGGAGGCACGTTGACGGGACCATAGAACGCATTTATAGTCTCCTAGTGCGCCTTCGAATCCAAAATGGGTGCTGGTCTTAGCAAGAAGAATTTCCACGATGGAAGCCTTCAGGTAATCGTATCGTTGTTCCTTCGTCTCTGCAGTAGAAGCGACTGTTAGCAGCGTCTTCTGGGTGGAACTACAGATGTGAACACTTTGGACTTGCAGTTTCCTCCCTGTGGCGTCTGCTTCGCTAGTGCAGTCGTGTATAAACTGTGCAAGCTCTCAACAATGCACAGCTAGTAATCCACGGCTGTCGCCTCGTGTACCTTTGACGCTGCCTTTGCTTGTAGACAGTGGAGCTTACGCGGGGGACAGATTCGACTCTTTGACTGACGCCTTGCTTCGAAACGCTTTCAATCCCGTTTTTTTGCAGGTCTGGAGCCGCTGCTGTTCTGCATGGAATGGGTGGCTTCACCCGATGCTGCATTATGGTGCGGTGCCCCTCATTTTTGCTGTGGGCCTTGCGGTTAACGGCGAGCTCACGGCAAACCCTGTAACTCTTTTTCAGAAGCTCATATTGAACTGATTGTAGCCCTTTATATTGCAGCCAAACGGCCCCGACATTTGCAGTCGCACCACGCACCAGAACAACAAGCCCTCATCTTCACGGAAGTTGCAGTCTGCCTTGGACATTGATGGCTTCACGACACTCCCGACCACGCGCGTGGCCTGAGCACCCCGTGCTGTCTCCAGTGGTTACTCTTCCGGTACGGCAATATTTTGCTCGTTGAGGTGGCTGCCATTGCCTTCCCGGCAGTACCTCACGAGGAAGCCAGCGCGTCGTGTTAGGCTACGAGAGCATGGCGACATTGACTTACAGCCACCCCTTCGCTAGGTTGGGTGGCGTCCAGCCTCTTCTCTCAGACGACGTGCTAGCCGTGCTTGGTGGTCGTACTAGCTGTCAAGTGCTGTGATCGCGGCGGCACGCCACGGAAGGCCACGGCTGCGCGGCGACACGGAAGGGCTAATGGACTCTTCCCTACATACGAAACTATGCTAAACCGTGTTTTCCCCCGCAACAACTCTGCTGCGGTTACTGCTGCCTAACTACATAGGTGATCCTATCCAGGCTGTCCATATGGCCACACTAGCGAAAACGACTGCAAGCAGCGCTTCGTCTCCACACCTGACAGACACGTACCCATTGTCCCCTTCTATCCAGTGGCGGCGCACAAATACGCATCCTGCCAAACCCATCGGGCTGGGCCACACGCATACCACGCACGGTGGCAGCGGATGCACTGCTTTTCGCAAAGCTCCTCGACCACTCTGTCAGGAGTCAGCTAGCCCCGGGCTGATCGATGCCAACGCAGCCTAACATATGAAGTAAAATTCATGTCCAAAAGGACGAATACACTATGAAGCTGCATGCGACGGAGACGGCTTGTAGCTTGCTTCACTTCGACGCGTAGCACTGCACTCGTCCTGGGTGGGCCAAGGTACCGAAACTGCGTGACAACTGGCGAGGCCGGGCAAACGGTGGCTTAACTGGATGCCCACCTCACACGAAGCAACGTAAACACAACTGTTGCGGCTAATCCAATGGTTACTTCTCTCAGGAATTACGTGATCTAAACAGCGATGCGTGTGTGATTCACGCTACTTGGGAGACCTGTGGAGCTGCATTTTCCACAGAAGGTTCAGAGGCTTCGCATCAGTTTCTTGGGCAGCTGTCCTTTTTATGGTTGGCGCTTGCTGCGTTATCGTTCGGTGCGTCCAGCGGGTTCCTCGTGAGTTCACTAATGCTTCTCCCTAGCTTTCTCAAGCGCGACGCGATTCGATTTCGTGCATCCTGCACGAGTGTAGGGACTTTCAGCTTCACGCAGTCTTCACTCCTTTGGATGCTACGGGGCTGCTTCGTCCGGAACACGTCGAGAATTGTCTGGGGGTCTGCGCCTTCGAACGCCACCCTGTATGTCGACATGAATAGCGGAAACAAGTGCTCGACTTCGTTCGCACGTATCACCTCAGCAACGAGTTCAAGCGTAGCCGGGCCCTAACAGTACATCAGAAAACAGTCACAACGCAACGTACAAACGCTCACAGTTGGAAAAGAAAACATGAAAACGCACAATGTAACGAAAAACGCCTCAAGCGAATGCCCCTCCCACGCAGAAGTGCCAGGGCGGCCACCATCGATCCACATCTGTATACCTGCAGTTTCTGGCCATTGAGCATTTCCCTCTCCAGTTCATCCCATCCTTTGCCCTTCTGCCGCACGAATTCAGCAGCAACCTTCGAGTTACGTCCCCCAAAGACTGTAGTTATTACATCAGCATAGCCCGCGCTGTCATATAATGTATCCTGCAGCAATTGTACAAACAAGCGCAGGCCATGTCGCTCTCTTCCTTGAGCGCAGACTTCGCGTCGAAACGTAGAGCTGTGGTGTCACGGTTATAACAACATAATGGCTGTGCTCGTCAGCCCTATCCACGTTACTCACAGCAAGGAGGTCACCAAAGAAGGTCATAATAAACGTTTTAATCTCTTCAACTCCAAGTCGTAGAATTGCCGCCTTCGTGTTGGTACCCTGGCCCATTCCCTCACAAAATCCACCAGCAAGTGCAACGACGTTCTTTAGAGCTCCACAGACCTGAAGTGTTGAACAAAAGCGTCCATAAGTTTTAGGAGCTACGGGAAAGCCCAGCTGCTGGGAAGCCAGCTATGGTGATGACGCATGGAAAAAGCGTCGGGAGAAGCCACGTTGGCATGACACAATTGCTGGCTCACCTCGACCCCGTCAACGTCCGGGAGCACATTTATCTTGAAGTTAGGTCTGTCAAAAAGCAGTTGCCATAACGCGGCCGTTTCGGTCTCCCCATCCGGATGGCCAATGGTCGCCTCCGCGAAGTTCTCAGCGGCGACATCACTGGCCACATTGGCACCTGTTAAGGAAGGCAACGCCATGCATTACACTGCATTGCATTTAAGAGACAAAGGGGTTAGTGCCATGTGCAGCTCGCAAAACTGGCTAGTCTTCATCCACAAGTTCCCCACACAAACGAAGCCAACACACGACACGAGCTTACCAGACAGAATGCAAGGCTTGGGAAGATCCAAGATACTGCCGATTTCATGAGTCAGCGTTATCGGCCAGCCATTCCTGACACCTATGCCCTTGATAAGCGAGATCGCCCGAGTGTGCGGAGGCAGCAGCTGGGCTTTCTTTAGTTCCCGACAGGCTTTCTGCTCACAAGAAGACCCAGAGGTCGACTTACTGTGCGTCCATGGCTGTCACCCCGCTGATCTTGCCAAATCGGCACTGACCAGGGGAAGGCACATAAGTTTAATGAGCTGAAACTCCTGAACAAGCACCCCTGTGTCATATCTCTGGCTCTCCCGTTGTAAGCTGCAGTGAGAAGTCACCTCAATGAACTGGTGAGGCATGACGAAGACCAAGAGATCCGCATCTCTGCATGCATCCGTAAGGGATGGAACAGCACGCAAATTCGAGGGCAGTTCAAAGCCAGGAAGATACTTCCTGTTCTCATGATTGTTGTTTATCCAGTCGGTCAACTTGCGGCCCTCAACCTCCTCCTCAAACACCCACATTCGGACCTGCGAGCGCAGCAACACAAAGCGACAAAATGGCTCCACTACTCATGCCACGCAGCGCTGGAACGCCAAACGTTTCCTACAACACAGCCATTGTTCCCCTGCTGGCAAAAGGGTGTGCGCATCAGATAGTATGCAGAGGGCAAGGCGCTCATGCCAGTGGCCTTGAAAACACCGCGTAAGCGTCCCACATCTGTGTTAAATATATGCGAGTCTTTCGCATTGGCAGCGACGATCTTCCCTACAGCTGTTCCCCAGTTGCCAGAGCCAACCAGAGAGACCTGAAGTGGTACACGCATGGCAGTCAAACTATGTATCGACAAACAATCTGGCAGAACGGAGTTCCTTGAGGAGCTCCAGAGATATATGGCCACACTAGCTTCAACGGCGCACGCTTCGTTTCCCTACTTCGGTGCGGTGAACCTCCCTTAGCTTCAACAAAATGAACAAACATGCACAAACGACGCAGCCAAAAGGTGGCACAATGCAAACTACCTTCTCAGATGAGCTCCTGACTGACGCCGTGCCAATTGATTGCGTCAAGATCACGTGAGGGTATAACACAAAAAGCCAAGTTTGCGCCGCTGCGTGCAAGGGCCGCTTGTGTCGGCCGAGACTTAACCAACTCTTGATAGCCCAGTAACGCACCTTGAGAGGCCCCTTTTGAAGAGCTTGGAGAAGTGGGGGGTAGGCGGACGCCGGGCGCAAGAACGCCTCCATACTTTCAGGCGCCAACAGAAACGAAAGACAGACCAAGAGCACCGCGTTCCAGACCCGTAGACCCATGCGAGGCCAGCGAAACCCCTGATGGTACGAACTGGAAGCGGTGGGGACAGTGACAATCTTTGATTGGCAACTTCGGTGGAAGCAGTTGCACCTTACTGTGCCAGGCCTCCGTTCGTTGCATATGCCAGTCAGTCTGGGGCTCTGTTGTAGCATTGATATGGAAAATATATAGCTCCTCAACAAAGAATCTTGCAGCGTACTAAGCTGCAAGGATTATAGAATGGACCTGCCTGCACATGCCATCTGTTTAGTCCAATTTTGCATAACTTCCTGTCAAAGAAGAGACGAGTGCGAGGGTATCGGCAAGAAACCTGCTCAGCCCGAGGAGAAGCAATTAAGAGGCCATCTTACAACCGATGATCTGGACTCTCATCTCAAGATATCTGCGTCGGGCGCAGTGGACGACAGGTGGTACACGGTAGAGGGAAGCGCCACACACCGCACACAACACACCAGGGGAACAGTAGCTCGCAGCCCTACCTACCACTACGTTCGCATTGTCTTATCTTTAGTGAGCGCGTCATAATTCATATTAACTTGCAATAATTACTGAGGGAAATGAGATAAGCTCATGGAAGTCCACTGCAGCCCTTGCAACACGCGAGACGCCTTTTTGTCTCATGAACGAAGCAACTGCCACGTAGGTGGCGCAGCCGAAAAGGACAACAGCGAGCAAACAAGTCCAAACACTAGGATAGAAATGTTACATATGTCAGACCCTGCAAATTCATCTTTAGTTTAGCTATATGCATTAGCACAGGGGATGGCCTTGCCTCTGCAGTGGGTTTTTCCCGCCCTTCCGTTGCGCATCCACAATCGTATCCAGAATGGGTGTGGGAGGTTACTTTTTCGGCGGCTGCAATACACTGTACAAGAATAGTAGTTGGGAAATTAGCGGTTTTCGTAGCAAGTAAGGTTTCATGGCGGCATTTGTATAAGGTTGTGTATGTTTGTGTAGTTCCCTGCATCGTGGTGTCTGACGGGCGACGTTGGAAAGGTGTAGATTGTTGTGGAAGCCGTGCAGCACTTTGCTTGCTTGACGGAGTGTTACGTTTATTCGTGTATTTGTTCACGTGGGGACGGGTTCTCTTGTCTCTGCAAGCCGAGTTCTCTTCAGCTGGGGCCCGTTTAGGAATGTACGAAAGTATAATCCATTTGCACTTCGGGGATGCCTTGCTGCCCAAAGCAACAAACTGTATTGGGGTTTTCAAACACCTTTCGAAGGAAGTTGTGCCCTGCATCCTTAGTATATTGCCCATGAGGCCAAAGGCGCTTCAGGCATGTCCCGCGGCCACCTAACTAGAGTAGCCAGTAACCTCATGCGACGTAGCCTGAGGCTGTCTAGAATGTAGTGCAGTAGATAAAGGACGTTATGTGCAAAAGACTGTACCGCACTGTAAAGTACAGGAAATGCTCTCTTTATGTCTGAAGTGAGCTGATAGTACAGCCATTGTTTGGCAAACCGTCTCTCTACGGGTTATTTGGACAGACTGGTCCCTTAGTTGTTTCTTCGATTTTGGCAAATAATTCTTTGGCGTATCTTCTGCGAAGGTGAGTGCCACGAACACTGTCCTTAAGCATGGGAGGGAATGCACGAGCAATCACCAATAATTCAAATACTTTGCGATTCAGCTGTTTCAACAGCACTATTGGAGTTTCTACACAGGAATTAGGTAGAGCTTTTGAGTCTTCCTGTTGTTCGACATTTCCTAAGGGTATCTCCGCATCCCCACTTGTACCTGCACCCCGCCATAAAGAGTTTCTGAAAGTTGTATAGCTTTGTTAAGTGCTCTCCAGTCTGCGCTATACCAGCGCGTGAATATTTAGGGCGCAGTGTTCAGGTCAGAGCACCGCAAACTGGAGAAAGAACCGGTAATAGATGCAAACCGGGTGGCTGGCCGCCATTTGCCCGCTGGCGCCTCTGTTTTAGCAATTCCGGAATTAAAAATGTAATTTTAACAGTGTTGGTATGGATGCTGAGCTGTCAGCCTCTTCGGCGAAGAGGTTAGTAGCTGGCACAAATCCACACGTTAGTGGTCACTGAGTCTGCCTCTTCACGGTGCATCATGTCTTTCGTGAAACATTTAGCAGCCAAGGCCGTCGGGAGCGGATGGTGGAATCCTGTCTTACAATGACGCGGAGTGAATAGAAGGCGCGGCGCCTACGTAGAAGGCGCGGCGCCTAAGCCAGCGGTCCCGCACTTTCTTGTGTCCATTCTGCTCTGAATAGATTTCACTGAGGACCTAAAATCATCATGTAGATCTCACCTACAGCATTGTTCAACAAATACGAACTTCCTTTGGGATTTTGGTTTCCTATTAGGAATTTAATTTGTTTTCCAACTAGTTATATTACTAGCAACAAGATATACTAGTGAAATGTCACATGCCTTTTACTGCACAATGTGTAGTGCACAGACACTACAATGGGGCTGGTTAGTGCTCTAGAGAGGATAGCTAGCCAGCGACCTACGAGGGGTCGCAAGACTGGAGGGGGACAGGGCCCTCTTACCAGACAAAAAGTAAGAGAAAGCGATTATTATTTTGTATGCACACGTGAATTCGTGGAAATGCGTGGAGACTGGGGCTGGAGACAGCGCCGGCGCCAGGGCGAGCCTCCCTCCCTTAGGGACTAGGAGGCGAGCTCCAGAGGAGGGAGCGAAACAGACAGACAGATTTTTGAGAACTCAAGAATTTGTGTTCATAATTGCAATAGCTATAGTTTCTAGGAAATGGACTTGCGTGGGGTGCAGTCTATAGGCCCTGCCCAAGGGACAGAAAGCACGTAGTCGCAGCTGCGGGCGCAGTGCACTACACAATGTGTTATTTGAGAGGCGTCTTTCGGTTGGAAATCCAGATTCCTACATGCAACTAAAACGCCCTGCGTATCCTTTTGTCTATTTCTTCATATGCTTTGAGCTCTAGTAATGAAAAAAATGCTCTTTTGGTTTATGTGTTGTTGTATTAGGGAATCAAAATTTCTGCAACCTAGCAATCACACTACACGGTTCTATTGTGATTTTCTTTGTAGTTATGCCAGGTCTTTTTGGTGGATATAGAAGCTATTTCTTACCAGTTTACCTTTTAGTAAAATTCATATTTTATTGCCTGTCAAGTTCCTTTGTTGTAGTTATATCAAAGCTTCTCTTGGTCCAGATACGCGATCTCATGTATGGTTAAAAAGCTTCTGTGACACCAGGCAAGCGACACCAGGGAGCCTCTATCAATATACGTTTTTTTGCATGGTAAGGTTTAGCGTTTGCTTCCGAGTGAAAATTTCTGCCCCAAAATACTCCATTATTAAAAGTACTTTCACAATTAAAATGTTATGTGCAAGACCAATCTATAAAGTTATCTCGCATTTCTAACATTTAATTAAATCTTTATTAAAAAAGATAACCTGAGAATTCTGTTGTAATGGAAATAAAGTAGATAATAAGTCCAGTAATCCATGTCACACTTAAATAAGAATAACTACTCGTTACCAGAACTCGAAGAATATGAACAGATAGATGCAAGAATACGCAGGATAAATCAGTTACATGTTGGAATCTAAATTCCCAACCGAAAGACACCTCTCCATTAGTATGTCGTACACTAACAAAGGCATATGACATCTCACTAGTATATATAAAAGCTAATAATAATCCCGTTTCAATTTCGACAAGAAAAGAAATTCCGAACAGGAAACCAAAATTCTAAGGAAATTCATATAACTTGGACATTGATATAATTGTAGGTGAGATCTCACTTGAGACATAATAACCATAAAAGAGTTCAGCTGGCCTGGCATCTGTTTCTTTCCAGAACGAACGCTTTTTACGCAGGAAGGGATGGGTAACACTCGGCTCTTCACCAGTATGACTGCTACTGTAGTGCGCAAGCACTACAATAGAGCTTGCTGGTGACCTATAGAGGATATGTAGTGCGCAGGCACTAAAATAGGGCTTGCTGGTGACCTAAAGTGTAGTGCACAGGCACTACAATGGGGCTGGCTAATGTCCTAGAGATGATAGCTAGCTAGCGACCTACAAGGGGCCGCAACACTGGAGGAGGACAGGACCCTCCCAATAGGATTAAAATAAGAAAAACTGTCTATTAGTTCTAATGAATACGTGAAATGCGCGGAAATTGTGTGGAGACTGGGGCTGGCGATAGCGCCGGCGCCAGTGCGGGCCTCCTCCCCATAGGGCCTAGGAGGCGAGCTCCCAGAGTGGAGCGAATCGAACAGACAGATTTGAAACACTTAAGAACTGTTGCATGTCGATGGAATAAAGCTATAGTGTCCGAGAAATGGGGCTATGCTAGGCGTAGTTTGTAGGCCCGCTCGAGGGGCAGGAAGCAGTGTAGTCACAGCAGTAGGCGCCGCGCACTACAATTGGGGGCTGTTCCGGGAAAGAAATCTTTATTCTTTCCGGACTTGGGAGTAGCAATACTATCTTTTAATAACTCGCGCCTAGAAATCTTTGCTCGGTAAGGGATGCACCTCCGCAACGGACGCGTTATCGGCCCCACACCGCAGGAGACTCCTACAATGCCAGTCAACAAAATGCCGAGCGGGACACCAGCCCATCATCGCCACCCGACTCCGAAGCCCACCGTGGCAGAGCGGCCGCATGGGCATAAGGAGGCGCCCCCGCAGGTGATACCTTTGCCTAATGTTATGCCAGGGGACAGTCCCTTCGTCACATGGGACCAATTCCAGTCCGCAGTGAGTGTGGTAAGAACTGTAATAGGAGGGACCGTGGAACCCGGCGCAACGACTCCCATACTACCAGAAGACGGCAGCACTATGCAGGCCTTTCTGCTGCACATCGAACCCCGGTACACGCAGATGGGATTGAAACCGCGCGAGTGGGGAAATGCACTTATAGACCACCTTGTGGGCCCGGCTCTAACGTATTGGATGTATCTACGGAGAACTATCGACCTAAGCGACTGGGCGACAGTACAGCGCAGGCGTTTGGAGCGGTTTGACAGAACAATGTCGCAGAGTCAATTGTTAACGGAGTTGGCTAAAGTACGGTGGAATGGTAACCCGAAGGAATACACGGACCGGTTTGCGGCTGTAGCGGAGCGTGGTTTGGGTCTTGCCCCCGACGAACTCGCGGACTATTACTGCACCGGGCTACCGACAGACCTCCATCTTCTAATAACCAATAACGGACAGGTGAAAAATCACTCGTGGGAACAAGCGGCGACAGCCGCAACTCAGCTCTACGAGCCCAAGCAGAGTATGCTGGAACTCCGAGAAAGGACAAGTCGAACCATTAGGACCGCCATCCAAGCTAATGGACCCCGTGGGCCCCAGGAAATTGAAAATCGCCCTGGGGGAACCCACGCTAACTGCTTTGAGTGTCAGGGTCGCGGACATCCGGCACGTGTCTGCCCTAGCAAAGGAGAACGTACCAAACGTCTGGGGGAAATCTGCAAGAAGTGTGGCGGTGTGGGACACTACGCTCGGGACTGTCCTACGTATGAACGAGGCCGGCCCGAGCCGGTGGACAAGAGCAGTAGAGCGCCCACCCGTCCTAGCACTGAGAAGACGGAACGATTAAACGTGCGGGCCTAGGCGTGGTTGGAGACGAGCGTTCTAAGCCGCGTAGCCATAGCAAAGGGATGTTGTGTGCGGTAGCGACAGGCCCTAATGCCATTTCAGTTTCCCTTGAGTTGGGAAAGCAACTCCTCCGCACTGCGGGAGGAGCTTATAAGAGCGATGGGCGCGCGGAAGGGACTCAGCCGTTTTCGGAAATGCGGCGGGAGTCTGGGTCAGCGTCGATCCTGAGTGAAGAGACTCCGGACGCCACGATGAATAGCAGCAGGAAGTCTGCAGAGGCAACAGAAGACGGCTATAGGTCAGACGCGACAGAGATTGTGCCACACTGGTGGAGGGAGACTTGCACGAAAGA